ATATATATGTGTGCTTTAAACTATAATGTTGTATTTGCATACAGTTGAGTGCGAGATGCATTATCTCCAATCGGATTCAAACTTCCTACAAAAACCTCTATGGTCCAGTTAGTTATGTCGTCTCTGGTTCGAATCCCGGTTGGGGCACTTGCAGATATATAAATTTCTCTTTTTGTGTGAGATTGTCACAAAAATCTGGACAAAGAACATACTTTTTCCACATGATCTTCAGCGGCCTGACAGTGAAAGTTTCTAAACCTTAGAATTCTTATGGGGATTTTAGGTATTGTTTAGTTTAAATTTGCCAACATTGCCCGGCCATGTAGTCGGTGGTATTTCCTTTGGAATTGGCAAAAAATAATACAACAGCAGTAAAGATCAGCAGAAATCTTCTTGATCCAAAGGGTCAGACTCCTCTCTTTAGGGCTGAATTTGAGTCCTCGGGATAGAAGTTTTCTTTCTTGGTTGGAAAGCTGACAGTTAATTGGAACAACTTAATTTGTGATCTTGCACGGATTGTGCATAACCTGGGTTATGTAAATAAGCTGAACATTGTGTGAAAGTTGTATCACTTGTGATATGTATATATCTATGTATAATCCTTGAATATTATCTTTTTTTAATTTGTTAAACATTAAAATATCGTTATATATAATATCAACAGGGCCAATTCCAAATACAATGCAAGAAATTACAGTCCCAATAATCAGCCAAGAGGAATGCAGAAATGTCTCTCAACTTGAAGAAATAATAACAAACTCTACCATTTGCACTGGAGGATTTGAGGATGAAAAAGGAGCATGCAGGGTAGGATTTTTTATAAATATTTCCAAAAAAAAAATGTACATATAATCATTCAGCTAAAAAATAAAATTATCATAAAATTTCATTCATTCATTCTGCTTTTATTATCAAATGCATTAAATTTAAAACATGATTGAATTGCGAGTAGATTTAGAACAATTATTAAATGAAAATTAATATTATAAACTAGCTAAATTACCTAAAAACACAGTAAAAACTACAAAAAAGGGAAAAAACTCCCTAATTTACAAAACAAAATTAATATCACAAGAGAAAGTAAAAACACTAAAGTATTTTTGTATTTATGTCATAGACCAGTATCACATAAGCTTTAACCATAAAATTTGTTAGAAGTTATAATTTAAGCCTATTGTATATTTAGTTATTGAATTAAGGTATGATGTAAATAAATCCATTAGTTGGTCATGTGTATTTACACTTTATTTATAAAATTAACGAAAATGAATTGCAAGCTATGCTACTTTAAGCGTTACAATTTATGGTATAGTCATGGCCATCAATATGCTCTGTCCTTAGTTTTGGGCCTTTACAAATAGTTCAGTGGATGTAATATTATACTATATTATAGTTGACTGCTCATGAGGGAAATGGTGAAATCTATTGACCCGAAGTGATGTGGAGACCGTAAAGTTCTACATGACCTCAGGCCTCATGAACCTCTTGTAATCTTTAAATCTTCTCGTGTGCATAAATAAAAATTTCTTATAGGCGCCTACAAAGTAGACAATTACTTTCACATGCATTTACTATTCTATAGAACCCACTTCCTGTACATGTAAAACAGCCTTCAGTGGTTATATACCGGTATTCAACAAAAAATCATTGTTATTTTCCTATAAATGATTTCCATTATTTTACAACATGGAACAATGCTTTAATCATACATTAAATTCACCATTTAAAAAATTTAAACCATTGTCATTGTGCCACTGAACTTTGCCTTACGTAATGGAATTTTTGTGTTTTTTTCGAAATCGTTGTATAGTATGTATACATACATGTGGCTCAGTTTGTCAACATACATTCCATTTTGTACATTTGTCCTTCAAATTGTGTTTTCAGGGTGATAGTGGTGGGCCTCTGATGTGTAAACGTGATGGTATATGGTTTGTTGCTGGTATTACTAGTTTCACTAAAAACCCGTGTGCTTCTGACGTTGGTGGTTATACAAGAGTATCCAGCTACACCGAACTAATAAATGATATACTTAGTGGCAGTGAGTGATGTAACATTTTTGTTTAAAACAAACATGGATACGCTACATACAACCACTTTTTTAACCGCCGCAAACATCAGGACAGGACAAAACTGTCCAAGTATATATGTGAACACATTCTCTATGTGTTTTGCTGTTATCTGATTCCCCACATCAGATGGAGACCCACTTTGACAGTAATTTATTTTACTTTTTGATTAATCGCCGGCCCTTGTGGGGAATCAGAGACCAACATTTATTGTATCTTTTTTGTTGTTTTTGTCCATTTTATTCTTTTATATTATAATTATTTTCGATTAAATAAATGAAATGAAATGAATCTGAAAAGCAGGAACACCCATGTCACCATTAAGTGAAACATAATTCAACGAGCGAAAATAATACATCATCGCATCTGATCGTAAAAAAATATTGAACAAGCGATCCGAGTTAATTTCTGCATGTAGTTATTGCTACAAATACCTACTCAAGAACTGCTAATTTCTACTCCCACTTTTTACAATTCTCAACCTCAATACTTATACCTATTTCTAATCAGAACAACTTTCATTCACCTACATAATTGCTCACCACTAATAAATATGGGCAATTTCATGGTAGCGGAATCACCATTTTGCTGAACTTTTTAACTTTAATCTAATGTCATATTTACACTCCATTGTAATTCTTGGAATAATTATCATATTTACATAACTATGGAATCCATCTATAATTTCTACCCTAGTTTTTTTTAAAAACCTATCACAATTTTGATATAATATCAAAAAATATGTATGGTAGCG